AGTACAAGATATGATGTCAGCGGTTGTAATAGCAAATTAAGCAATTACAAATTAACCAAAAAAAAAAGGGGCTATAATGCGATTCCGCCACTGTTTCGATTGTGGTCTTGAATCCCGAACTAGTTCCTTGGTCAACGCGTTTAATTATTTGTAAGTGATTTTCAAAGTTTTGTCATTAAAAATAGGCCTTGCTTCGGAAAATTAACTTTTTGCCGTGGCAGGTGTGGGTGAACGTACATGTTTGATTTCTTAGTCGCAAATGCACATTTTTTACAATGGGGCAAAAAGGAACAGTTTTACTGAGTGTTGCTATTGCTATTTAGGAGATTATATGTCCAAGCTGCAGCAATTAATTGTCACAAGATTTAGCCAATGTGGATCTAAACAACTACAAATACAAAATTAAATGTGATAAACTTACAAAATCTGCAATGAAGAGAGGCCTGCGAAAATTCCGTGCGGGATTTCCTCGATCCTGCTGTTTGACAATTTCCTACAGCAAATTGAAATATATAGCCTACATTAACTGGTAGACTGTTTATTTTTTGTTTTTAAACGAAAAAAGTATATATTTTAACAAAACATCCTGTGCATTCTTTAAAATCCAAATTCAAGTAAAATCAAATTATATTAAAATTGTCAATCTGTAAAAAAATCGCAGTATGAAGGCGTTCTATTGACTTTAAAAAGGCTGTAAGGCCCGCCGCGACGGTACGGGCCTTACGGTACGAAATGTTCGTATAACAACAAGCCGACTATGCGAAAAAGCAGTAGTCTTTCCCTCTGTCGCAATAATAGTATAACGGTAACAGGTTGTGCATGTTATTGTTGACCGGCTGGGAAAGCTTCCATCAAAGGAACAACAGCTTTCGAGAACACAACACTTTATTCTCAAAGCACATGCAACCATCTTCGTTTTACACATACAATACGGCTCACGCGGAACACTGCTGACCCCTATGATACAACGACAGAATTGTCTCCTATCAACATCCTCTCTTTCAAAGAAAACTATTAACATGTTAATATGTTTCGAAAAATGAAAACAAAAAACAAAAAGAACATAATAAGTCATTAACACAAACAAATGTGAACAGGCAATGTCAGACAATAGTCAACATCAAGTACCATACTGCACTCTAGTCTCCAGTTTCAAAGGTCCAGTCTCTTTGGTCGTCTAATTGGAAGACCATAACGCGAGGTTTGCACTGGTGGAAGTGAATTCTCATTCGTGGACTCTGAAGTGGGGTTAGGCACTATGGTTTCCGCAGCATTTCCGACATCCACACCACTATCTATTACTGGTTGTTCTGGCAATGGTTGTAGGTCACATGGGACCTGAGGCTCATTAGGTCTTAAGTGGATCCTGTTCCGTCTAACCAACCTGTCTTGCGTTTTTATCACATACGAACGTGGTGTTACTTCGCCCAAGACTTCGCCGTGACACCTCTGTTCGCCATGGTGATGGTCATTTGGCCTAATGTACACATACTGTCTAGCGTAAGAGGGGGTAAGTCTCTGCTAGCAGTTTTGTCATAGTGAGTTTTGGCTTTAGCTCGCCTACTGAGATGCTCTTCACGGACTACGTTTACAGGTGGCACAGATTGGCTCAACAATGCTTCAGCTATTGGCAAATTAGAATTTGTTCGTCGGCAGAGAAACCTTTGTGCCGGGGAGTAAGTCATACCCTGTGGCGGAGTGCTCATATGGTCCAAGAGACCAGTGGAGAGGTCTAATTTTTTTAACATCTTCTTGGCCTCCTTAACAGCAGCTTCAGCTTTACCGGTAGCTCTAGCATAATACGGTGACCGGGTAATCGACTTGAAACCATTGGTCTTGGCAAAATTCGAAAATTCCTGAGACGTATACTGAGGTCCATTGTCGGACAAAAATATGTCTGGTATACCATAACGGGCAAAGTGCGCCTTTGTGACTGAGATAACATTGGCAGCAGTGATGTCTTCATTCAATAGATGGACCTCAAACCAGTCACTGTAGTGGTCTACTGTAACAGAATACCAACGCCCACCCTGCTTGAATAGGTCCTGCGAGATAAATTTCCATGGACCTTGTGGAATTTCATGAGACAACATCGGTTCCTTTGGGAGGGCCGAACCATAGCTAGCACACAATGAACATTTGGCACTCTCTTTGAAGGATTGCAGCTTGCATTCCAGGCCAGTACATTACTTCTCGAGCCCGGTGAATCATGCTTTCACCGCCCTGTTGACCGTGGTGGAGTTTTTTTGGCATAGTAAACTGTAGCTTCACGGGAATGAGGACTTTGTGTGACTTGTACAATACACCATTGTATGCCACTAGCTCATCCCTTAACGGATAGTAATGATGGAGTGCTGTGGGCACCTGTGATTTGTCGGAGTGCCAACCATGGGCCACGAACATACATAGGATTGACGGGGAAGGATCCGCCTAGGTTTCAGCGTTAATTTCCTCCAGGGAGCTAGGATACATGTCAGGGGAGTCTAGTTCCACGGTCTCTAGTTCTACCCGGGACATCTCTAGTGCATCCGCTGAGTTGCACTGGAACACCTCTTCTTGTGCGTCTGGGGGTGTAGAGAGGTTTAAGGTGGCTCTGGACAGTGTATCGGCCAAGTACATGTACTTGCCTTTCTTGTAAACTACTGTGAACTTTAACGGCTGTAGCTGAAGCATCATCCGTTGAAGGCGTCTTGGGGCTCTACTCAAGGGGTTTTTTGAAAATGGTCTCTAACGGCTGGTGATCAGAATGTACTATAACATCTTGTTTACCATAAAGATACTGGTAGAACGTTGTACAGGCTACTTTGATGGCCAGACATTCCTTTTCAATAGGCGCGTAGTTGACTTCAGTTGCTGACCGCGTTGAACTTGTGAAAGCCACAGGTTGCCCATCTTGCAGCAGGGTACCTCCAAGGCCTGTGTCACTGGAGTCCACTTGTAATACACATGGCTTGTTCACATCAAAGAACTTCAACGTCGTGGCATTTGCAATTAAGCTTTTGGCTGTCTTAAAAGCTTTGTCATGCTGGGATGACCATGACCACACTGCATTCACGTGTGTCAGCTCAGTGAGCGGCTTCACAATTTCTGCAAGGTTTAGGGTGAAGCGTGACAAATAATTGCACATGCCTAGGAACCCCTTTCACATCTTGTGGTGGGGTCATGTCCTTAATAGCCTGAACTCCACCTGGATGTGGGGTGATGCCATTACTGCTAAGGAGATGGCCCATCCAGGTTTGCTTCACTTTTAACTGAAATTTCCTGGGGTTTAACTTGAGATTCACGTCACGGCACCGTAACATTAAGTTCTACAAGTTAATATCGTGATCCTTCTCAGCCTCCTCCATACTATCTCCACTCCCAAAGACCAAAATGTCATCAGCCTTGTTCACAACACCAGTCAATCCTTCCAGTGCTTCATGTTGTCTACTCAGGTATTCCTCCGGTCCTAAACTGACCCCGAACGGCATACGCAACCAACGGTAACGACCAATTGGAGTATGCATGGTCATTAGGAATGAAGAACTGTCATCTAACTCAATGTTTGTGAACCCCTTGTACACATCCACACAGGAATAAATTTTTGGCATTGTTCAACTTAGGCAGTAACTCATCAACTGTAGGAATGGGGTACTTTGGGACTTCAATGGCTTTATTGATCGTTTGGCTAGGATCAATACACATACGAATGCTTCCGTCGGGTTTCTCTCTATAGACGCTGTTGGAGATCCATGCAGTCGGCTCAGTAACCTTTTTCAGGATACCCTGTTTTTCAAGTTCACGTATTGCGCCAGATGTTTTGCTACAGGGCACCGATGTGGATGAGCTTGGATTGGAGTCACATTAGGGTTCATGCTGATGTGCAGGGGCGGCCCCAAAGTTCCTAACCGTGTATGGACATCCTTAAATGCATCCATGACAATGGCTTTAGTCCGTTTTCCCCAGGGGACAGGCACATGGGACACACCCACCTAACTAGCCATGCTCTCCTTTGGACGAACTTTTTCTTCATTGGTTACAGCACCATGAACTACACTAATATCCTCACACGTACCCTGTACTGGAGAGGTGCTGGTGCTTTCCTCAGTCAGATTAATCTCTTCTGTTGCACTACCATTCAGTGAGGTGGGCCTGACTTCCTGATCAGGAGGTCCACTTTCCTCCACTTTTCCGCGCAGAGGTCCCGAGTTAAGCTGGCACACTTCTGAGGCACCCCCTTTTGTTGTTACGATCCGAGGAGCAGGTGTTTCCTCTTATCTCAACCAGACCTAATCTAACACAATCAGATCCACTGAGAAGAGGTGGCTGTGATCCCATGACGTCCTTATTTAACAGCTGAAACTGAAGAGTGTGAAACTTTCCTTGAGTTTCACAGACCAATTATATTTGCCCCACTGGCTTTATTACATCTCCTCCATAGGTACTCAGGATGGTAGAGGAGGGTTTGATTAGACCATGGATATCAACCCCTGCTGGACACATGCTCCGGAGGTCCTCCACTGCAAGGGTGTTGGTTGTTGACGCAGTATCTAATTGCAAAGTTTTCCCAGTAAAAATTATTTTTTGCTGCGGACAATTTGATCGCCGCGAAAAACTTTTTCCCCATCTGTACAGATACTGATCTCACAGAATAATTGACCAGCGTAAACAAATGATATGTTTCTTGCCCATCATCAGAAACTGAATCATCCAATGCATTCACGTTCTGAGGTTTGCTCAAACATTTCCGAGCTACATGCCCTTCTTTGTCATATTTTCTGCACTTATACTTAAGGAGAAATGCACGACACTTTTCGTTTGAGTGACTCGGTGTCGCCCCACATTAGTTACACTCAGACTGTTTTCTAGACGACTCTTTGCCATTGCTTTGGCTTTGAGAGCGAGTGCTATTTTGCTTTGACTGGGATGCTTTTTCGGTCCAAGTCACCTGCTCTTGATCTTCACGGACTTGCCTCATAAGCCTTCGAGCGTCAGTGGAGGATTCATAATTCTTTGCTATTTCAACCACAGTACGGAACTCCACAATGTTACCATTCTTGTCACGATGACCATTAGTATTCAACTTTCCTTGTAAAGTTTCGTCCACCAAGCCAGCAATAAAACGGTCGCGGCATGCTTGATCTTCAAAATTCCCATATTCACAATATCTAGCTCGCTCCACCACTCGCATTCCCACGCACTAATGAATTCTCCTTCGGACTGAAACATGAGTCCCATTTTCGTTCGCTCAGCTTGAACACTGACACTGCCTCCAAAGCGCTTAATGAGGGCTTTAATAACTTTCATCGGGTCACTTATCTTCTTCGGATAGTCCCAGCGTTTTGTTGTTTGGATTAATCAATCTCTTCATCTTCGAAGGCAGAGTTGCTCGAAGTGTTGACATGCAAAGGTTTTGTTTCTTCCATTGTTCTTCTCATCCTCGCTTTGATCGTCATATTTACATCTGTCTTTCCGCTCGAACCATCCTATCACCGTGCAATAATCAATATAATCCAATATGAAACAGTCTAGAGCTTCTCGCTCATCTAGCCCCTCTTGCATTTGAGGGACAGGAAAACCCACTGGAGCGTTGGCCATGATAACAGCAAACACAAACAATTTATACGGGCACCAGCTTGATAACATCCGAAAATGGCGGGAACAATTCGTACAACTCCCACAGTTCGTTCTCAAACATAAACTGACCGCACTATGGACGAAACCCCCTGACTTTAGGCGCGTGTTCGTCTACTTCTGACACCGTGAGAACCGGCTGGGAAAGCTTCCATCAAAGGAACAACACCTTTCGAGAACACAGCACTTTATTCTCAAAGCACATGCAGCCATCTTCGTTTTACACATACAATACGGCCCACGCGGAACACCGCTGACCCCTATGATATAACGACAGAATTGTCTCCTATCAACATTATCATGGTTTTTCATCGTCAACCACATTCGACCAAGGTTGGCAATGTTGCGCCGATAGGTGTGACCATCAGCTCTTCACCTTGGTTTATTGGCAACCATGGTAGAAAAACAATCCTTTTAACTAGCAAAAGATGAATGGCCAACGGCAACGCAGTGATCTTTTGTGGAATAAATTGAGCATTTAAGTCCAGATTCATGAGTTGTATCCTTATTCACGAATTAAGGATAATTAACTGACTCACTTCCATAATGTAAATGTACCAGGTTCCACCAAATCATAAACTATGTAGAATCACACTTTTTTCACCTACACTTTTAAAATTGGCGGTGTTGTTTGGATGGCTCGCGACCTATTTTCTGGTGCAACAAATAGCAAAACATTTTGACCCTTATGCATAAAAAAATAAGAAAAAAACCATTGACATTGCAGACGAAATGGAAGTCGCGACGATCTTAGAGATGCAGCTATCGCATAGCCATTTCAATCCCTTTTGACAACATTAGTCTTTCAATGACGGCAAAGAAGCCTGCCAAACATTGTACTGCACGTTCGGAATTTTTGTTTTGTTTATTTTCTCGTTTTTGTTGTTGTTGTGGTTGCGTTGAGCTTTGTAGTAGCCCTACGAGGTTAAACAATTGTTGATGTGCGACGATTTCGCTTGAAAAACCTATTTCCACAGGTACCCATACACAGACTCAATCCTTGTGTCAAATTGAAAGGAATATCTGGCAGATATTCTATCATTTAAATCGACTGGGTAATTCAAGACTTCAATAAACTTGGATAGACTAAAAACCTTAAAGAGAATCAGTGGGGAAACTTGCCTCTCAAAAGCACGGCTTCGTAGTTTCTGGTCTCCGGTCTCACCTCCTAATGCCTACTGTAATATAGTATGTTTTGTGCTTCGACCTTCTTTAGTGTGTTCTGTTTTTTTTCGGATAACACTTTAGAGTGTTAAGGAAGTAGTGTATTGGTTTCTACTGGCCTTAGCTACAACCAGATTGACCATGATCAACCTCATTGTCATATCGTTATTGTTGATCATGGTTATCCTTTGGTTGTATAATTGCCACACGACGGGTTTCCATAGTTGAGAACCATGATTATTCACATTCTACGCATATAAAATGATGGGCGTTTATTGCCAACGAGGCAACCGAGCTAAGAAGCGAGGTTGACTCGGCAGCAGAATTATAACTAAGAGCAATGTAGGCAAAAACTCTCAAATTCTGCGTAACCCTCTAAAATTTGCATTTTTGACCATATTTGGGTGTAAGTAAGACCCCATATTTGGGTAGTGACGTCATGGTCTTGTATTTACAACTCGTGGTCCGAAATTGGGTGATTCAGTGTGCAGCTGTTCGTTGTTTGTTTAAGAGGACCTAACAGGTGAGCAAGCTTTAATACGATTTCTAGTTTGAGAGGGCAGTTAGTGCTCTGGTTTGCTTTATAAATTGCGTGTAAAACAGCAGCTTTAAATTTTGCGGACCTTTTATTTTAAAATTTATTCGAGAGATTTTGTCAACCAGCATGTTTTTTTGCTGCTCGATTTACATTGATACAGCCCAAAACTCCCGTGAGGAATGCAACGAATTTGCGGACCTTTTTGTTTTGAAGACTATCATTATGCCTTTCAAGAGACTCTTTGTCCTGTGACACTCCCTCATTAGATCTTTGTATTTTATTCAAGTTTACATTTTTTTAACTCTGATACAATCCACCCCATTCTTGCGCTTTTCACACATTTTACTTTACACCAATTTTTTCTTACGTATATTACTACGCGAAACATTTTTCTTATCCCTGATGACGCTGTTGCCCGGAATTTAATTATTGTTTATAATTTCAGCAGTCAAAGGCCTCATTTGAACTATCTTTTTCTTTCTAACGTTTATAGTTTTGATACAATTGAATTTTCCAAGAAACATAATTACTAACTTGCTCATATTTACCAACAAAGCTTCCAGCGATGTTGTTATTGTTTAATAATTAAAAAAAAAGAAAGCCTAAAGATACAATGTGCCAAAGCTGTTGTTTTGAAGTTGGGTTCCATCCTTTTCTATAGCGGAATCCATTTTAAACCTCTAAAATTATGAAAAAAGATATATATATATCGCGAAGATCTGAATAGGCACATTTCACAAAAGATAAACGAATTCGCCTCGTTGGCACTTGCCGGAAGGTACCCCTAGTATAATTTGTTAAACTAGAAATACGTTGTCGCAAAAATCTCTCGAAGCTGTAAATGGTCCGCAATGAGAATACAGGGAAACAGGGCAAAGGGCAAAAATATGTCCAAAAAGAAAACTAAATAGAAGAACTAATGTATAAAGAAAACGCAATAAATAGATAACCACGCCGAGATTCGAACCTACACTATGATTGCCTCCAGTGCGTGAAGTCAGCTCCCAGACCACTGGGCCTTGCTGCCACGGGACAGTTCTTACCGTACGATTAATATACTAAAAGCATTTTTCTCTGCCATACACGCTATTTGAAGCTTGTGGAGTTGTATTAAGCGAGTATTTCAAAGCCATTTCGCTTTATTTCTGTGTTTACTCGCTCTCAGGCTTAACGGCCGCTCGATATATTTACACTAGCTCATCTTCTTCGTTGCTCGCGCTGGATTTCAAGTCCCCGTTCTCGCTGCAGTGGAGTTGCGATGGTAAATCTTCCCCATCGAGGATTCCCAGCCACTTGTTGAATGAACCGTTGTCTTGTGCTTGCCGTTTTCTTTCAGTTGTCTGGAAAATTGATCGCGATTCACCGAGAGTAAACAGTGCTTAACAGACGATGAATTAAGACATCAGCCTTTCATGAATAAAACGTGATAGCGCACGCATATTTTGAAGTCGTGTTGAAAATGCACCATGACGTCACACTGGATGCGGAAACCCAAGAGTTATCTAGAAATATTGCCAACTCGAGTTTCTGCGTCGCTGAGCGTCGCTGTGGGATCCACGCGATACACGGCGCGACAAATTTATAGGCCGCTCGCTTGGCGAAGAATAATCATATAACCACAAACATTCTGTAATTCAAAATCAGATTGAGGTCGTATAAACTTGTAGACTAACTCAAGGGAAAAAACCCTCATCGACTGGTATACTTCTTTAATGATGAAAGTAATAATAATGTCCGTTTTACCCCAAATGTATTTTTTTAATTTTCATTAATTGAGACCTCAGGAGGCTCTTTTTCAAAGCTAAACGATTTTTAGGGCGTTTACTTTAAACGTTTTTATTCTTTTGATGCATGATTCACTGCCACTGAGTATTTTTATTAAAATCAGCAGTTAACGAGTCCTTAAGCTAGGAGATTCACTTACAAATTAGTAGTTGTTGTTGGTATACACTTCCAAATATATGTAGCATTGTCTCCACTGCAGTCATGATCGTTGTTTACTTGACCGGAACCATTCATAAAACCATTGCTCTGACATAAATGACTGCAATCTGCGAGATCAATGCATCTAGTCTCAGGTAAGAGATGACAAGCGAAAAGTGGATGAGGCAACTGCAAGGGTAGATTTCTAAACCAAATGTGTTCATTAACCTACGCTGTAAAATGAAAACTACCATATTGAAAACGCCTTCACTACATTGAATAAATACACCATCGGTGCGTTCAAAAGCAACAAAGTTGACTCGTTCGATCGGGAGAAACGCTCAATATGAGCAAAAAATAACACATGTATCACAGGTTGGTACTGAAATATGGTTGGATATATTAACATGTTAACTTGAGACGAAAAACTTACCCATAACTTTAACGTCAACCGTTTTGGAGCTATTTCCTGATTCACTTTTTGCCAGAATTGTATAGTTTCCCGTCTGAGTGAATTTAAGTCCTTTCACCACTGGCCCACCCTCCAAAGGTGTAGATGAGTTGTTTAACCAAGCTTCAATGGGTGGGGTGCCTTCCAGCATGAACCAGGTATAATGCTCTGGTACACTGCGTACTACGGACAACGGCATCCTTATCTTCGGCTTATCTATAAACACAAATAAGCAATACTTATCTTAAATGGCGAGAAAAATTGTGCTTCTCGTTATAAAATGAGCGCGATCGTTTTTTTGGAGACAAAATGACAAGGAACATAGGCAAACCCATTACGTCTTGCCTTCGAGAAATAATCATTACAGAGACCGCGTGAGATACTTCAAGCTGTTTAGCACATGCTTTGGAAAATTCAGTGGAGGCGTGTGTGGCTGTGTGTCAAGCTTCACCCCTCCCGTTGTTTCCTTGGACAAGGAAATTTACTCCAATTTGTGCCTCTTAAACAATGGGTACCGGCGACAAACTGCTGGGGTAAACCTGCGATAGACTAGCAACGCGTCCAGGGGGCGTGAGTTCACAACCCTTACATTCTGTTCACAGATATTCTACAACAAATTAATGAATGAGGCTGAGTATCTTATGAAGAATTATGGAGATCAAGGAGGGATAACACCCTCCGAGATCTCCATAATTCTTCATATGGTACGAAAGCCGAATTCAAAAATTGTTTTATTATTCATTCAAAATAATTCGTAGTTTAAAACATAGCTAAAACATGCTTACCTCCATCGATGTTAGGTTCATCTTCGATAGTGCACGTTTAGGGTTGTTCAGCTCTGCAAATATTCTCCAAATAGCAGATGTCGCCCTTTGAGTTGTCTTTTTGCTGTTCTTGCCATGTTTTTAGCTATTATTTCGCCTAGTTCTTACTCTTGAAACGAGCAAAATGTCCGCCTTTTTTGTTTTCACAACCAAAACAACTTAACTCCGTCCCCAGGGCTTCTCAGTTAACGGTGCATTAACCTGCTAGGAAGCTGCACTTTTGACGTCATCGGTTCATTAATCGCAAAATTCTTTCAAACTTTGTCATCAGTAGCTGGTTGTGGTGAATTATGCGCGTGCTTTTAGCCAGTCATAGTCCGGGAAATATTTTGAATGAATAATAAAACAAATTAATGAACGTGGTAAACATTTCTATTAGAATCTGTTTTTTCTTTCCCGGAAAATTATGTACAAATAGACACGGCAATAGTAAAAAAGTACCCAAAAATAGTAAGGTGAAGAACACAAGAACAGTTCTTAAGTTGAGAAAAAGAAACAACTTTCTTTAAAGCGATAAAACTCAAAACTATTAAGGTTTTTATAGTGCTCTTGCTTTTTGGACCTCGATCCTGTGACTTTTTTTCGCCGCTGGGAAAAGCCTGCTCTATTTCTAAGTTATCAAAACATCGACGGATATCAAACAAATGATTCAACACAAATCATAGCGTTTAGTAAGCTTTTGTTGGAATATTTCAAGTCTTCTTTGAATTTTGCTTGATTGTTCTCTATGGTTTCGACATCCTGCCGAATTGTTTCCAGGCAGTCCTTCACATGCGATTCAGAACTATCGTCAAACACATCATACTTCCTTCCTCCTTTCTATGACGCACTCATGTTTCAAAAGGAAGACACCAACAGTAACACTTACACAGGGAAAAACTTAATGATTTAAACACAAAAAGGCAGCAAATAACACAAAACTAGGCAGCTTCAAAAGAGGCGGCCATCATTATTGCTCTATCAAGAGGCCCTATAACAAGGTCACGTAGGAAAGTCATTCTTCATTTTTTACCTATATAGAAGAAATTAGACTTTATTATTGGGAGTTTTCTGATGATTATAAATTAATATGATATGGTTCAACTAATCTAATCAAATGGGTTTTTCCTAATTCACCTCCAATGAATTTTCTTCGAACATTTTAGAATTCTTTTTTTGGTACATACAGCTCACCTTTTATTGAGCTTGAAGAGTAGACTCCCTTGAAGTTAAAAAATGCCTCTTCGTGATACCTTTTAAAGGTTACCATCATGAATTGACCACTTGTTTGTACGATGAATGGGCGTCTCGATCCTCTAAAAATACCCAGCAAGGTATCATTTTTACTCTTTCCATCATATACTTCAATCTCGCTCCTGTAGGTCTTTCCACCATAACCGCGGAGGTTGAATATAGTAAAGTTTAATTTGACGGTGTAGTTAGATGGTGCTGTAATGATCCAAGTGCAATTATACATGGAGTAGTTTTTGGTAAAACTGGAGCTGATGACCCCATTGGAGCTACCCACATTGTAGAAGCATGGATTGGCGTGCACATCTGGAAATGAGTACAAAAATTATAGAGATTATATTTATCATTCGAAATAGCAATTAAACGAAACAGTCAGTTTGCAACTTTCAATATTAAGAGTATAAACTGCATTGAGGTTACCCTTAAAAAGATATTGTTACAAGAAACAATACCATAGAATATAAAAAAGGTAAAACTTTTCTGTGGCTCATGCACAGAAAACTAGTTGCCATTCCCGTCCTGGCAACTTTTGAGTAGGGTCTTGGAAAGAAGATTAGGCTTAAAGAGCGTTTGAATCACGTGACGTCACGTCGGCCTTATTGTGCCAAGGATCCCTAATGTAATGGCATTTGTAATGGGGAGTGGAGTCACAAATATATCAATAGTCGCAAATATCACAAGGGCTAGGAAGAAAAGTTAGAGTTGGTAAAAAAGGGTTTCAATTTAGCAGATGGATAAATGTGAATTGTACGTAAGATCACGTTATGCGTCTACAAGTGAAGAGGTGAATGTCCTAAGGAAATACCCCTTAGACGTTTCTTGAGTAGAATACAGTACTGTGAAAAAAATAAAAGACAGCGAACTTATTTCGGTGAATAACTTGCATACTTTCCTTTTAGACGAAGACAGGACGAAATTTATGTGTATCTATTGTCCTAACGTCGGTGAAACTTTGCAAAGTAGGTGATGAATCAAAGCGAATTATCGCGGCATGAGACAAAATTAATGGTAAATGGTATGCGGACCATGCACTTTTTTTTATAGTTGAAAATTTTTGTCAATTATATTTATTAATAATTATATTTAAAGATCTTTTAATCAAAGGTTGATTAAGTCTGGATGCAGATCGCTTTACCTTTCCTCAGGATTTACTGGTGAGACAGATTCCATGAACCGTCCATAATATAAGTAATCATAAATTTTGTGGAAAGATGAATAAAAAAAATATTGTTGTTGTTATCGTCGTTTATTGGTTTAAATTTCATTTTCCTTTTTTCGGTGTATTAATAGTATCCGAATTCAAGCCCTTGAATAACAGCTACAACCCAGGACAAAGCTGTTGAGATAATTCCATCTATTTTCTAACTTTTGCGCCCCAATCCCGTCTCCTCTAAACAGGAAAAGTTAGCCCCCTCCCCACCCTCTACTCAAAGTTGTCTTGGTCTAAAAACCAACGTGTATAATTGCCATGTTATCCTAAACAACTTTGGATAAGGGAAGGGGCGACATCGGGCATTAATTTGGCTGAGGTTTCAGTTTTTGCCAGGATGACAGGAACAAAAAGGCATTTTCGCGATTTCTCTTAACAGGTTGTCTGCCACTGCATTGGATATTCTTTAACTTTCATACCAATTACCCCAAGAAGTGATAGTCCTCTTTTTTGGTCAAATTGATCAAAGCCATTGTCTCGGCATACTTTTTCTTTCTTTTGAACGTGAAATTAAGATTTTTTTAGTAAAAATTGAAGTTGTCACATTCTGATTACATGATTTGTCAGATGATGTTTACTCTGTGACGCTACAGCTTACGTGTCCGTAGACTCTTTGCATGCTCAAATAATGACCTTTGTACGTAATCGCCAGACAAAATGGATCGCTCGAGAACTTCCGATAGTGACGAATCATTTTCAGGAGGGCATTCATTTGGCGGAGGTTTCAGTTTTTGACAGGATGACAGGATGACAGGAAAAAATAGGCATTTTCGCAATTTGTCTTAACAGGTTTTGTCTGGGGTTGTAGATCCCTCCACCCCACTCGCTTCAACGCCCTATGTCGCCCTGCCTACACCAAAACTGAAAATTGCGGAATTTGATGATTAATAGCAATTGCAAACTTTTTCTAATTTGCCCGAGAACGCCCCCTCGTGAAAGTTTACTTTTACTGTAAAGAAACCTGCAATCTTAATGTATTGATGTCGTCGTTGTTTAGACTACCCCTTATTGGGGTTTTAAAACTAATTACAATATTGGCCTACCCCTTGTAGCATTTGCTAGCATTGTCATATTTGTGACCAATTTCTTACATGTAGCACAAAAGTAATCGCTTATTACGTTTATGACCTATCCCCATAGAATTTGTAAACCTTAATACATTATTTTGACCCTTATTTCATCAGGCACCAGTTCCTTATTACTTTAATTTTGGACCCTTACATTTGGCACCAGTTATAACATTAATGCGACCTCAACTTAACAGCCAAAACAGGGTACAGTTTAAGTGCCACGCGCAGCAGTCCGTCTCAATGTAGGAAGATGACAGAAATTACTGTGTATGTCGTAAGTAAAAAATTCACTTGCCTTTCCACATTGCGATGAAAACGACTGCAAACAATATTTTTTTCATTCTTAACATTTCCAACCTCTTTCCTTTTCCACTCTGAAAAGGCCAAAATCTGAAAAAAAAAAAGACAGTAAAAGTCAATCAAAAGGGAGACATTATAGCGGGACTCTCGCTCTCAGACTTGGCAAAGAGTCTTAAGGCTGATTCATGAATGATACACTTCTTCTGTTTTATTCCCTCAAGCCTCGGAACCAAGTGGTATCCATACACATCAGAGAAATTTTGGTAGTCACGTGACCGTACGTATGCCTGCCCGTCCGTCAGTGAGACGGCACCACAGGTAACCAATGTGAAATGGCATTTTGTGGTTCATGTGGGAGCTTGCAACCTGTGTTTAATTTGATGATAGACATCCATGTTTGGTTAATTGACAACTGTCAGCAAAAGGGTATCCGCTGACCAGTATTGCATGACCTTATAGAAGATTCAGGTTTCAACTCGAGGTCAAGTATTTTATTATTTTTCCGCTGACCAGTTATTTTCTTTTCACTGATCGCAGGCTCAAATTCAATGTTCTTAGCAGCAATTGTTTCTCGTCTATTGAGCCCCTCTCTAAAACGTCATATGGTCTTCCCCTGATTTAAGGTAAGTGTAGATTTGTGGATTTCTTTAGCAATAGTTCCAAGTTCACGGGGGCTTTGCATTTAGCTCTGGCTAAAGCTATACATTAAACATAAATTAACTTAAGGCATAACATAGTAGAACACATCTGAAAGGTCTGAAGAAGGGTAAAAAATCTCCTACAACACTAACAATTTTTAATTAATACTTTTTCTGTAAGAATACGAATTTGAAGGATTGTAGTCTCATTCGCTGTTCCCCTTTTCAAGAACCAATTTTTACGTACAAAAAGCCTTGTTCGCCACCCAAATGACAATGATATTATTTCATATGCTTAGATTCATTTGGAGCAGTTAGCTATTAAATTCATAACCTTACAAAGTAAAATGTTGTCATCCTATGCGGACATATTTTTTCACAAGCTCGGCCATGATACTTTGCTCTTTTAGAGAGGAATCATGATTGGCTTCAATACCCCGGCTAATTCTTAATAGCCAATCCCTTTTTCTGTTGATTGAAGCTTATTTATAAATATTCGTCAACCAAAACGGCTGTCGTGAAAACTTGTAGTCTCTTCGAGAATATTTCTTACCGGTTCGGTAAATATTAACTCCTTTACTTTACATTTTGGGCAGGTTCGAAAGGCTTAGCAAATTTCTAGAGTTAAAGCACGAACCTCTAGCATAGAAACCACACAAACACGAAACTTTTTGTGACCTTGCAGTTAAATTGCGTTAAATTGCAAAATAAGACGATTCGGAACTGAAATATTTTAAGGGGGTCGCCATCAGCCGCTTTTTTCAACTTCCGTTTGTTTGTTTTAAGAATGTTCTATGAGTCAGGACACACCTTAATAATTTATCCGTGAAAAAGAAAATAAATGAGACACACAAGTTCAGTGGAGTAAAGCTGTCTCTTTATGGACACTACAGGGACATATCCAGGTGTCCACATTAGAGAGTTTTACGTATTATGGAGATTGGAATTGCGGTAAGAAATTTGATATCTTTGCATGGAAAGAACTGTCCATAAAAAGATATGTCTAAATGAGAATTTATAAATGTATTTCTTTCAAAAAATCTAGTAAAAAAATCGCGATTTCCTGACAAAAGGTAAACCAACATGGAATCCTCCTGCCAGCAAACGATTATTTTGGGGGGTAAAGATGCTCAAAATGCGATCAATTTATTCCGTTATCCTTAAGTTAAAACCTACCAATAAATAAAAGTCAGTACTATGGTGGAAAAATACATAGTTATTATGTGTAAAGATGTTTTGCCAATAGTTCGTTTAATATAAACAGGTTTCTGTTATACTCAGCAAATTCGTAAAAGGTAAAGAACCAGAAAACCTGACGTAAAAACCCTTTAAAACGGAAGCCTTTTTTTGACCTCGTGGTTAATTCTCAAATAGAAATTTCTCTTCCATCTAGAGATATCAAACGGATCTCTAGCCATCTTAAACATTTTTATTTTTATTTTATTTTTTAACTGTGCCTTGATATTTGCTTTCATCTACTGAACTTCCGCTGTTTGATCAACAGTCAATTTTAAACAACATGGTTCACACACAAGGCGCAGAATTTTTCACGAAGTATGAATGCTATCGAGTACAAACATCTTTTTAAAGAAAAATACACTATTTAAAAGACTGACTGATCAACTAAAATGGAAATTATTTTACTGTTACGTTATGAGAATCGAATTGGCACGAGGAGGAGATGAATTCTACTTTGTTTCTCTTATACACTTTGAAATACTTTTTTAAAAGTATCTTAAAGATAGAAGTAATTTATCCATGACTTTTTGGTTGGTGAAAGTATTTAAACTAACAAAATTGTTGATATCGAGTAACTAACCTTGTACAAAACCTGATTATAGCATTGCTTGCAGGAGGAACTTTCATGAGCAAAATCCAAGTTTAAATTTACACCGTTTTATTAAACACCTGCAGACAAACCCTAAAATTGAGCTCAGATTAGATGTCTCTGACTACAATAAAGATTAAATAAGCTTGACGAAAGTTTTTCTTTTGATGGTGAACGAAATTTAAATACATTATTATCTTCTCTCCATAGGGGCTTGTCAGGGATAATGAAACAAATAATTCAAATGGAGGAAAACAAAGATAAGAACTCAAAATGATGGAAAGCGAACCAGTTGTCTATTTTACAAACATGGCGCAATATTTAAACACGGGAATGTTGGAAACAAATCAAGGAAGCGGTAAGGGCCAGACTTAAACTCGGAACCTCCGGATTACAAGTCCAGCGTTCTAACCACTCGATCACAGTGTCACCTTCAAATTGCTTCCCTCAAATTGCTGAGCAGGTGAGGCTTGAACGTTTAAATTCAAACGAAGGTAAAGGTTAGTTTTTTTCTATATTGCCAATATTATTGCACAAAACTCGCAATGAGTGTTTTAATAAGAGATTGTGAGAATTGCTTAGTCCTTCCTTTTTTTCAAGGAAGTCGATTGCTAAAAAACGACAGTGAAGTCCTGCTGACTGATTCTAATTTGACAGAAACTGATTTGACTGACAGTTGAACTTTAATTCATCGCAAGTTAGATGGCGGTTGCTATTTTAATTCACCCTTTATCAGTAAATTTTTGGATTATTCAAATTTTGCTCAGCTACTTTCCGAACAGCCAAGTAAGAAATTACACATTTTTTTCTATTTTTTTCAGGTATTGCTCGTTCACCCAAGGAAACCTAAATGCTCTTGTTAGAAGCAAAATATATTTTCTCCTAAATATCGTAGTCTGGTAAGGCGAAGAAAGATCCTCTGGAACAATTTGTGTTTTTGCTATCTTTAAACATTCGCATTGATATGACACAATTTGTGACATTTGCTACAGCAAAGTGACATCTTTCATTAGTATTCATGATCATCACAAAATGTAGACGAGAAAATTAGCTCCTATAGCCCAAGAAGAATAATTTAATTAATACTTTTTCTGTAAGAATACGAATTTGAAGGATTGTAGTCTCATTCGCTGTTCCCCTTTTCAAGAACCAATTTTTACGTACAAAAAGCCTTGTTCGCCACCCAAATGACAATGATATTATTTCATATGCTTAGATTCATTTGGAGCAGTTAGCTATTAAATTCATAACCTTACAAAGTAAAATGTTGTCATCCTATGCGGACATATTTTTTCACAAGCTCGGCCATGATACTTTGCTCTTTTAGAGAGGAATCATGATTGGCTTCAATACCCCGGCTAATTCTTAATAGCCAATCCCTTTTTCTGTTGATTGAAGCTTATTTATAAATATTCGTCAACCAAAACGGCTGTCGTGAAAACTTGTAGTCTCTTCGAGAATATTTCTTACCGGTTCGGTAAATATTAACTCCTTTACTTTACATTTTGGGCAGGTTCGAAAGGCTTAGCAAATTTCTAGAGTTAAAGCACGAACCTCTAGCATAGAAACCACACAAACACGAAACTTTTTGTGACCTTGCAGTTAAATTGCGTTAAATTGCAAAATAAGACGATTCGGAACTGAAATATTTTAAGGGGGTCGCCATCAGCCGCTTTTTTCAACTTCCGTTTGTTTGTTTTAAGAATGTTCTATGAGTCAGGACACACCTTAATAATTTATCCGTGAAAAAGAAAATAAATGAGACACACAAGTTCAGTGGAGTAAAGCTGTCTCTTTATGGACACTACAGGGACATATCCAGGTGTCCACATTAGAGAGTTTTACGTATTATGGAGATTGGAATTGCGGTAAGAAATTTGATATCTTTGCATGGAAAGAACTGTCCATAAAAAGATATGTCTAAATGAGAATTTATAAATGTATTTCTTTCAAAAAATCTAGTAAAAAAATCGCGATTTCCTGACAAAAGGTAAACCAACATGGAATCCTCCTGCCAGCAAACGATTATTTTGGGGGGTAAAGATGCTCAAAATGCGATCAATTTATTCCGTTATCCTTAAGTTAAAACCTACCAATAAATAAAAGTCAGTACTATGGTGGAAAAATACATAGTTATTATGTGTAAAGATGTTTTGCCAATAGTTCGTTTAATATAAACAGGTTTCTGTTATACTCAGCAAATTCGTAAAAGGTAAAGAACCAGAAAACCTGACGTAAAAACCCTTTAAAACGGAAGCCTTTTTTTGACCTCGTGGTTAATTCTCAAATAGAAATTTCTCTTCCATCTAGAGATATCAAACGGATCTCTAGCCATCTTAAACATTTTTATTTTTATTTTATTTTTTAACTGTGCCTTGATATTTGCTTTCATCTACTGAACTTCCGCTGTTTGATCAACAGTCAATTTTAAACAACATGGTTCACACACAAGGCGCAGAATTTTTCACGAAGTATGAATGCTATCGAGTACAAACATCTTTTTAAAGAAAAATACACTATTTAAAAGACTGACTGATCAACTAAAAT